AATCGAGTGAAATAAAATGACTTTAATTGAAAAGGAGAGCTTGATACCGAATGCCCTGATAACAGGCTAGCCTAATATTCGCGGCTTGCGTTTTGGTACGCATGCCGTCGAATTTGTTTTTTTGCGTCACCCGAAATTGACTTGCATCCGTTTGCATTTGATTTCATTGAGCGAAACGNGTGATAACTATCAGATTTTTGAACAAACCAAAATCTTTTCTTACGTTGACATTAATGGGTTCAAAACATAATCTTAAAAATATTTTAATGCAAAAGTAATACGGATTAACTAAGTTTTCTAACCTTTAATTTCTTTAATAAACACTTTTATTTTAAACCATCTTCTTAAAGCACCCTTTAATTAAGTTTTTATGTCGTATGAAGTGTAGAATAAATTTTTTTATAGCGCACCCATAATTAATGCTTTTATCTTAATCAGTCCTTATGAGATTACAAAGCGATTATAGATAAAACTTTTTATGGACAATAACATTAAATAATTTAAAAGTGTGGCGTCATTTGGTTGGCAATAAAAAACTTCAAACATTCCTTAACCAAAATTAAAAAAAAAAATGATGGTAACTGTGACAATTTTTTGCGCATTCACGCGCTTGCAATTAACAATTTTGGCATATCGTATTTATCCATAAAACATTCATTATTGACATTTTTTATCGCGACTGAAATTTTCGGTGTTCTTAAAAGTTCTGTGGTATCGACAATCAAAATAATCTAAAATATCGGAATACATATGTATGTATGTACCTGTATGTATACTAGAAAAGTAATGATTACTTTTAAAAGCGAATGAAAAGCTGATGTGGCTCTTACTCGGAGCACAGCAATTCAAAGCATGCCATACTTCACTGTAGCAGCGGTCATCAACCAGATCATTAGCGTACTGTAGCCCGGCAAAATATTTTCATTGTTCGCTGAGTGTGGCTCTTTCATTCACGTTTTTGATAACATTTAAGGTCAGCATGTATTAAGATTTCTAATAATTATGACGCCCAATCTATAAACAAATTTTTCGATCTCTCTTTGTTTTTAAAGCTTACGTTCAACCCGCAGGCAAGTTCAGTGCTTAATAATGGGTTCTTATCGCCAGAAATTAGAATGATTTTCCATAGATGCACCCCTACGTAAAATTTAAAGTTATATCTCAAAAAGTACGAACATTTTTATGGCAATGCTAAAATTAGTTTGTCAGTTTTAAAAAAAGTTTTTAATTTTCTAGTAAGATTCCAAAAAAGCCATTCCGATTTTTTTTTTAAAGATGATAAATAGTAGTGTTGCCAGACAAAAATTTGCCCCATATAAAATACATGGAAAACAACTTTGAGAGCTTTGAGCGACCTCTTAATATTTTTTGATTTCAAAATACAAAAATTGGAGTATATTTTTTTTCGGTATAGAAAAATTTCGACTTGACTTGTTTTGGACCACCCAGCGAGTTTTGCTTTACATAAAAATTTGTGCTCTTTTATTTTCATTTTGACTCACTTCAGTGTTGGTTCCTTTAATTCAAGTTGGCTTTCGGTTTTTGGAATTTGAATAAGTTCTCAGCAAAAAAGTTTGCTTAAAAAAATACATATGTGTACATAGTGCTTGAAAATATAAATTTTTCCATTACCCTAAACCTTTGGCAGTGGGCAAAAATTATGTTTTTTAATTTAGGCAGAATTTAATATGCGCTATCTGGGAAGACAATATCTACATGTAATATTTATTCTGTTTGTTGGCACTATATCCAAACACAAATGCATCTTAAGAGTCTTAACAGTGAAACAATTTGTTATTTTCTAAGTTGGCGAATAAAACTTCACACTTAAAATTAAGACATGTATAACAAACATTTTATGAAGAAAATCCCTTCTTCGTTTAAAATAAAAATAAGCGAAATCGGCCCAATTTCATACAATCCTGCCTGACATGAAAATTTTCTCCACGATAAGGCTAGTAGCCATTTCTAACAGATTTTGGGTCGCTTAGTCAAAAATGGAAACATATATACATATTTGAAATTTAAAAAAACAAGGCAAATAGCAAAATCGGCTAAAACGGCTAACAAATCGGCTGCCAGCCAGATCGAAATTTCTCCGGCTGTTTGCTATCGGAGCCGGCTAAATCTAGCCGGAAAACGGCTAAAATGGCAACACTTGTTTGGAGGTGTCGACATGAAAGAATACACACACGCGACGCCTCTGGTCTTTGTGTGTCTCACCGTTAAATTATTGCTGGATATTTTTTACCCTCCCCTGATTCCCGAAATCCTTGGTCCGCCTCTGTTCTCGGCTATTAAGCTTGGCAAATGTGGTATTCATCATGGGCTGGAATTTTCACGCTTTTTACTATTAATTACAGGGTGTCGTTTTCAGAGAAAAAGTATGATAATCTTTTCAGAGCTTTTTAAATACATTTACAACGGTATATCACTTAAAGAAATCGTACATCAAACAAAAATGTTATAGAAAAAAAAAAAATTGTTAGTAAAATTTTTTTTTTTTTTAATTGTTATATGGTCTAATATAGAAATACCCTATCTCACAGCGACGCTGAAATGCAGAAAAGCTGTAACTAACAACAATTTTTTATTGCATGAAACGATGTAGTGAATCAATCAAAGAGTGAATTTTGGATTTTTAGTTAGTTACGGCTTTTTGTATTTCAGCGACGATGTGAGATAAGGCCTTTCTATATTAAGGTAACGGTATGAATGTATGTATATTATACAGACAAAGTGGAAACTTAATTTTGTCATTGGTTGTAAATGTACTAGGGTGGGTAAAAAAAATCAAGTATTTTTTTGATCCGACACACGAAAACTAGTTCCTAGGTACCTCCAGAAAGTACTTACCAAATCTGAGCTCTTAATATTAACGGGAAGATTATCCTCATCATAGTTTTCCATTTTCAGTTTAGTCTCATATAAAAATAGTCACATCTTATCACCAATAATAGATCGTTAAACCAGTTGCATCGTCAATATTTACAGGAAATTGAACGCTCTACAAAAATGGTCTCATATACTTTTTTCGTTAATCTAACCATTTAAAAGATAATCAAAGTCAAATATTGAAGTATTTTAAGGAAAAAAAACTTTTTGTTTCGAATTTTGTAACTTACTAAAAAATAATTATTGTCAAATGAGTTTCAATTATTTCTATAGCAAATTGAACGCTGTACAAAAAGGTCTATTGTGGTTAATCGATCACTCTAACCATTTAGAAAATATTCGCAGTAGAATCCCAATGCCTACTGATTTTAATAGTTTTTCAATAAATATTTTCAATTTATCCATTCAATTTATGAATTTCGAGATATTTAAGAATATAACGTTGAATATTTAAGAATATTACGTTGATGAAAAAATAAACACATAAGATATGACCATTTTTATATGAGACTAAATTGAAAATGGAAAACTATGATGAGGATAATCACCCCGTTAATATTAAGAGCTCAGATATGGTAAGTACTTTCTAGAGGTACCTAGAAACTAGTTTTCGTGTGTCGGATCAAAAAAAAAAAAAACACTTGATTTTTTTGACCCACCCTAATATGTACATATGTATTTTCAACGTTCACGTGCTAATTTATGCATATTTTAATACAGTATATGTATGTACATCCATGCATAAATATATGTATATACATAATTTATTAATTACAGAAATGGGAATACAATAAACAGGCAAAAAATATGAGAAATAATGCAAGAATACATTTTACACTGAAAAACTGCAAACAAACCAGGGCTAGCCAATATACACCGCTCCGTTTTTATAATCCCATATAAAATAAATTTAATAATAGTTAATGCTAACTTTTTTATTTTTTATTTCTTTTTTTTTCAATGCAATAAGTACAAGTACAGCAGCCATTCTCGCCAAATTAAAAGGGTGCATGCAAGTATGTATATACATACGTACTTAAGTATCTGTAGTTTATCTGTTCGAGGGTCAGACTAGTAGCGCTCTTGATAGTCTTATCTGCTACATATTTTATTACCCTCTATTCCTTTGTGACCGGATAGATATATAGATATGCGGCCTTATGTTTGCGGCCAGCCTGTAAATAGCTTCGGACACGTTTTTAGATGAAATACTATATGAGGTAACTGCCTTAATTGCTGCTTAATTGTTTACGTATAAGCTTACTCTTAAAGTGATTCTCGTGTAGGCGAGTTCTACTGCTCATTGCGAAAATGTCTGCTTGAAATATGCCGCAATGGTCAGTTAACCTTGCTGCCCGTCTGACGTTTCGTTCCGGAAGTACATACCGACACCGACCCTGTTACCATTTCAGAGCCGATCCCACAACAGTCGGGTCTACCGGAACAGTCCAGATTTATATCTGGCCAAGGACTGTCACTCCAGCATCACACCCCAAACCTTTTTGGGGAGTTTGTATACTGTTACAACAACTGCAATAATTTAAGTTCCATACGTGAAAATGTTTGCGAAACCTTCGTTCCCAATTAAATTAGTGTGCTATATAAAATCTACTATTTGTGCTTCTCGCTCCCATTGAGCTATGTCGAAAGGTTTTGTTATTGAATTCCCCTATGCATGTAAATCTAAGTTCTAAAAGGAGAATTCTACTTAGTAAGGGTTATAGTCCCTTAGGGCGGCCGAAGGCCGCCTACGCTGAATTAACCTTTTCAATAGAAGCCTCTGGAGACTGGGGTCTTCGCCTATGTCAGGCAACACGGAAAGGTTCATGTCATCAACTCGAAACAAGCGAAAACGCAAGTAAAAATTTTGCCCATTTTTTTAAAGGCTCCCTAGGGACCTAAAGGGGTCTAGGCATTTGGTAGTTACACTTTTGGAAACGGCAGTTCAGGCCCTTCCTAAAATGGGGTGTGGAAGGTGCCACGCCCCCACGCCCCCACGCCCTCCGCATTCCCAGCACACAACGATCGGAAGTAAATTAAAGGAAAGTTTCTCCAAAAAGATACCTGCCATGCACTTAAACTTTGTTTAGAAGTGACCCATCTATAAAATGGGTATAGCCTCATATGTGTAAATATTTGTTTATATTTAAATCACCTACCTTAAATTGCACATGACTGAGTTTCCAGTGTGGTCTTATAGTTTTGAGTATCTCTTTGGCACCGCTGATAACGTCTTCGCCAATGTGTATAGGTACAAAAACTGGAGTCACGATCGCTTCACTATTGCTGCCGCTTTGCTGTTGCTTGCAGTTCAATGCACCATTCAAAGCGCCATTTGAGCTATGCAACTTGTGACCAACACCGCTAGCATCAACAATACCGCGACCAACACTGACTGACGACGAACCATTGAGCGCTACTTTCGGACGTAAAACACTGCCAGTCGTTGCTGTGGTGTTCTCCTTGTAGCTATTTAATTTGGTTTCTGTGCCCATACTACTTTGTAGGCTTTGTGAACTATTAGAAATTTACTTGATTTGATTAACACGACAGCCGGGAAAATGTTTAATCTATGGGCAATAATGCGGGTTTATTTTGTAAACGCACTGGCCTATTAATATCAGGCAAATTTTAATCAATATTTTTGTTTCAGTCGCAATTTTTTTTTGAATTTTATTTATTTATTTATTTTCGTTTATTTATATTTTCTCCAGTTTTTCTCTTTTTCTTTTGTTTACTTGTTTACATTTCGCTTATTTTTTGTATGAACAGCTGCAATTTTTTACTTATCGTTGCAATTGGTCGTGGGGAAGTGCTTCTCCTCTTTCTCCTTTTCGACCTGGCAACTCCGATCAGCTGTTTTTTTCTCCTTTTTTCCTCGCACACTCTCTGGTTATCTTTCCTTTCTTTGTTTCAAAGTAATTTTTAAAGAATTTAGGTACCAAACTGTGCCGCGTAAAATAATTTTCCCACAGCTGTGATAGGCTTGGCTTTTCCTAATATATGTATATTTTAAATACCTCCACTGCACTTCGTTCGGCAACAACAACTATGCAAAGCCGCCAACGATTTTCTTTTTTGTTTTGCTCTTTGTTATTGGTTTTGTATTGTTTTTGTATTCTTGCTACCACCTTGTATAAATTCGCCTTGCCTTTGCGGTCCCGTCGGCGACAATTCACTTTGTTTTTGTTACTGTTGTTGGATGTATGACGATTCCCCTCGACGTGATTCTATTTTTATCGATTTTTCACGTAATGGAGTTCATTTGCGGATTTTCACCTCTCCTTATTTCACAGCGTACTTTATCTTCACATTCGTTGTGCAAAAGTTCAAACATAAATTTCCCTCAATATTATGACTGAAATTTGCTTTTTTTATCAGGATTTCGATATCCTTTTGTTACACAATTTTCACTGTCGATTCTGCACCCAGAATTTTGTTAAAACGCGATAAGAATTCAAAAAATGCGGAATATTCACAACTTGCATTTATGAACAACCACATCTCGGCCAAATTTCTTCGTAAACTGAACGTTACAAAAACAATATCACCTTTCGCATTCTCTGCTGTCGGCGTTTTGCCCCTGTGTGGTGAAATTACCACGCTAGCGTTACCAGATGACTAGGTTTGGTAATGTAGAAATAAGCGCTGTGGTTAAAGAAGAGAACGTAAATTAATGGTTGATTTACGTATCTGTGATCAGAACGACGACATTTTCTCTCGAACTTCGAATAATAAGGTTAACACATGAACCAAAAATACAAAGATCACGTGAGAAGAAGAGTAGCCCGTTATAATCGCATTTAGGAAAAAAGGAGTGCGATTTTGACATAAGTCGTTTGTTTATATTTGTTCGTTGTTGTACATTTTGGTGGTGGCTGCTTACTGCAATTTTCTTATTTTCGCCTGTGACAACGTGTGTACACATAAGTTAAAGAATAATTGAACACAGAGACATGATTTGTAGAAGAATTTGCATAATTAAAATGATAAATTGACGGTGTAATAATTATCAGGGATCCAATGAGAACGAAAGTATCGAGAACTTTTTAAGGAGAGATCAAATAAGAACAAAAGTGTGGGGAACGTTCTGCTAGAGAACAAAACCAGAACAAAAGTTTTGAGAACTTTAATTTAAGAATGAGAGGGTCTCCTGCGTTTGGGATGAAAATCGTTTCAGTGAGAACTGTGATTGTTAGTTCTAAGTCAAAGCAGACTGGATCTTTTCAACTTCCAGATCGTTATATATTAGGGTGAACGGTCCATTTATGGAATAATTTTTCAGTTTTCTGTGCAGCAAAAGTTCTTGTCTTAAGTCTTTCGTTTACCGTTTAATTTGCATAGTTATTTTCAGTTCTTTTTTGACTAAGATATATATGTAGCACAAAAACCTCGATCTATTGTGATGCTTAAGAGTTTTAACATTTAAAAGACTTAAACATTGACGTCCATACGATCGCTATTAAATAAAACTGCTTTTTTACAACAATTATAATTGATTTATTCGATTTATTTCCATACATACATATAACACATTTGCCAAATTGATTTGTTGCAAGTGTTCTCTCAAGTAAATAAGTAAATGTACAATAGGTATTACCATAAGTAAATATAATTTCATATTCAGTGCTGCACATTAACACTATGTGTTGTATGTCTTCGAAACCAAATAATACCAAATACATAGTATGTACATGCATATGTATTATGTACATATGTACATCTATACATAAAACTTCTGCTATACATACGGTGACCATTCGTACCGATTTTGGCGGGTCAGTACTGATTTTGAGAAAATTATCCCGCTGAATATTTTTCAAAAGTCGGGACGTATCTTCAAAAAAAAACTTGAAAATTTCAGAATGTCAGACAGATAAAAATTTATCCAAATCAAATATGGTCGATTCCAACCATGGGCGGGGTAGATACATATATGCACATAAATATAAGTTGAGCGGCGAACAATCCACAGTAACTTTATACTTCTATTTATAATATTTTTTTTTTAAATATGACTAATCTTCATGGCAATGGCAAACTTTCCGTGTATTTCTGCCATAAAAACAGCTTCTCATAAAAGCGGCGTAAAACTGTAGGTCCCTACCCTTGGTGTGACGCGCCACAAATCGAAAGAGAAGCTTGGCCAAACACTAACATATGTATGTACATATGTATGTGTCAAGCGCCAATCTATTATTGTTATTATTATTATTAATATTATTATTATTATTAGTTATTATTATTATTATTATTATTATTAATCTTCATATGAAGCGAACAGGGTGTGTAGAAAATATTATTTCTTGTGCAATTTTCGAATATTTAATATTCTTGGATTTTCATGACGAATCAACTTTGAAGTCTGGTTTTAAAAAAAGCTTTCGATATACATACATAACTCGTTATCCCAATATCCATATGCATGTACATTATGTACATAGAAAGGCGCTATCTACTTACCTAATTTTGGTTTAAAATTGGAAAACTTAATAAAGTTTATAGTTCTTTAGTTGACTTTTTTAAACGTATTTTTTTTTAGCAAAAACTGGTGCTAATTTAATGCTAATGGTATGCAAATTAATTTTAATTTTTAATTTTTTAATTTTTTAGAAGTGCAAAGCTGTGAAGAAGAATGAAAGACTTTAAGGTAAGCGATAGTCATATTTTGGCATTAAAATGGATTCCATTGCAAATGGTGTAATTAAAATTAAGTTATGCATCGGATACAAGTTTATAGATACTATTTATGTACTTAAGTTCTTTGTAAACATTAAAAAATTCATTTGTTCATACAATAACTACATTGTTTTGTGTTAAATATAAAATTTACGTATGTTGTATGTGCATTCATGTATGTATCTTTTTTATGTATGTATGGTGTATGTATTACATATAAGTTTGTATGTATACG